AATGAAAAGCATTGGGGAGATAGGATCCCCTTGCCGTAGCCCTTTGCAACTCATAGACATGAATGAACCGTTCGTTCAATGACCGACAACGGGACCGTGGACGTCTATATCGATTCCTATGAGCACACGATTGATATTGGAGTGAATCTTTAGTTATCATGTGATGTTCCCTTTGCACCGTGGGGCTTTATTTTGGCCGCATCATATCGCCTATTTGCCTTCCATGCGTCCCCGAGCTTCCTTGTCAGACTTCCATGCGTCCGCTTAGCCGCATCTTTATTTATTTTTACCTCAAAAAAGGTAAAATAAAATAATAAAAGAGAAAGTGTCTAACTTGTGACTTGTTGTTGTAAACAAGGACCATAGGTACATTAACGCTGTGAGTATTAAAGGAGACCGATGGCGAGAATCAGTTGCTTTCTACTTTGACTATATCTTGATATAGACACCATTTGATGCATGCATGCATGCATGCTTTCGTTGCAATCTGCATGCTGCTGATCTGACCCTTGTTTCTTTCTTTCTGCAAGTGATGGACGTACGTGCGGTATTTAGCGCTAAACTTGACGCATACTCTCATTTTTGCCTGCGCCTGCAGCTTTGATTATCTTGATACAGACACCACTGCACTGCATGTGCATGCGAATTTTCTTTTGAGCACATGAGATGGACTGCACGTAGTACTTTCACTTTACTCTTCTGTTCCTTTCCCTCTTTGTTTTCTCTCCAAACAAGGCAAGGATTTATTCGACGATCGATCTGTACCGCCGTCGGTCGACCCCATTTCATTTGCACTCACCTTCCTATTTTAAGGACAAGCAGTACGCATCCCATCGGTGAAGCTTACTCTACTCTAGTCGGAGTACTAGTTTAAAGACCGGTCAGTGCATATGCATGCATGCAGACTGCAGGGCGCGACGTCGACGTGCTAGGCTGCTAGCTAGGTAGCCCCAGCTACAGCTCCAGCTCGAGCTGAACGGCGGCAGGCGGCGATGGGAGGATTCACGCCTCCAATCCCGCAGGACGACAGCAACTGGGAGATCCGGGTGGCGGTGCTGCTCAGCCTCTTCCTCCAGATGATCCTCATATTCGTCGGCCCCGTCCGCAAGCGCTCCTCCTCCCCCGTCCCCCGCTTTCTCGTCTGGGCATGCTACCTCCTCGCCGACTGGGTCGCCGACCTCGCCCTCGGCCTCCTCCTCAACAACATGGGCAACATCGGCGGCTCCCAGTCTAGCTCCTCCTCCACCATCACCCAGCACGCCACCGGCCTCAAGCGCGGCTCCCCCACCAACGCCGACGCCGGCAACAGCAGCCCCATCATCTTCGCCTTCTGGACGCCCTTCCTGCTGCTCCACCTGGGCGGCCCTGACACCATCACCGCCTACTCCCTCGAGGACAACGAGCTGTGGCTCCGCCACCTCATCGGCCTCCTCTTCGAGCTCTTCTCCGCCTCCGTCATCTTCTTCTGCTCCCTCAAGGGCAACCCCATGATCCCCGCCACCGTCCTCATGTTCGTCGTCGGCATCATCAAGTACGGTGAGCGCACCTACTCGCTCTACTCCGGCAGCGTCGACGGCTTCCGCGAGAACATCCTCGACCCTCCTGACCCGGGCCCAAACTACGCCAAGCTCATGACGGAGTTCGACGCCAAGGAGAAGGCCGGACTGGTCGTCGATATCGTGTTCGCCGGCGACGACGACGACGCCAAGAAAGCCCTTGCCGACCTTGAGGAAGGCGAGGCAGCGCGCCTCGTGAATAATAGCAACAAGAGCCTTGAGGCGCAGGCGTTCGACTTCTTCCTCATCTTCCGCCGCCTCTTCGTCAACCTCATCCTAAGCTACAAGGAGCGCAAGATCAGCCAAGCCTACTTCCTCGATCGCGAGGACGTGACCAACTCGCCGGCCAAGGCGTTCCAGGTCATCGAGGTGGAGCTCAACTTCATCTACGACATGGTGTACACCAAGGCCCCCGTCGCCCACAGCAAGGCCGGCTGCGTCCTCCGCTTCCTCGCCTCCGCCTGCCTCGTCTCCTCCCTCCTCATCTTCTTCTTCCACGGCGACAAGGGCAGCTTCATGCACGTCGACATCGCCATCACCTATGCGCTGCTCCTGGGCGGGATAGCACTCGACGGCGTCGCGCTCGCCATGCTCCTGTCCTCTCACCGGATGCTCGTCCTCCTCGAGAAGACACGGTGGCTGGAGTGGCTCTCGCGCGCCGTCAGGTCCGTGCGGCCACGGCTGCGGCGCTGGTCAGAGAGGACCTCGCAGCTGAACCTCGTGAGCTATTGCCTGGACAAGCCGGACTCTGCCAGCAGCGGCCTCCGCGGCTGTTTGGGCGGCCCGCGGATGGCCCGGGCGCTCACCAGGGTCGCCGAGACGCTGCACGTCCGGGAGATCTTTGACGATTTCTTCTTCATCCGGCGCGAGCGCCTCTGCTCGGGTCAGGAGAAGGGACCCCTACTTGATTTTGTGTTTGGTAGGCTCAAGGAGAGGGCCACCGAAGCCAAGGCCATCAAAGACACAACGGCGGCGTGCAGCTGCCGCGGCGAGGGAGTCCTTGAGAAGCTTCGTACTCAGATCATGGAGAACCTGAAGAAAGCAACACCAGAAGCCGCAGGTGCGAAAGAGGAGGAGGTCATCAGTAACAAGGACAAGGACAAGGACGCAACACCAGAAGCCGCAGGTGCGAAAGAGAAGGAGGCCATCAGTAGCAAGGACGAGGTGGAAGAGAAGTTGCACGTACTTGAGAGCAGCGTGAACAGAGACAGAGAGTTCGACGAGTCACTGCTGCTGTGGCACATCGCCACGGACCTGTGCTGCTACCCGTTCCAGCATACAGCGCCGACGGAGGCTACGAGCAACATGAAGCCAATCGCCAACACCCTGTCGGAGTACATGCTATATCTTCTGATCAAGCAGCCGGAGATGCTGTCCGCGACGGCGGGCATCGGGCTGCTCCGCTACCGTGACACGTGCGCCGAGGCCAAGCGCTTCTTCGAGTCAGCGGCGGCGTGGGACCCGGACCATAAGGACGCGCGGAGGATGCTGCTGAACGTGAACACGACAGAGAAGCCGTCGGTGGTGAAGGGCGACAGGTGTAAATCAGTGCTGTTCGACGCCGTCATCCTGGCCAAGGTGCTGAGGGAGCTGGGTGATGATCTCATGTGGGAGGTGGTGGCCGGGGTGTGGGGGGAGATGCTCACGTACGCGGCGGGCAAGTGCCGTGGGAGCACGCACGTCCGGCAGCTCAGCCGCGGCGGCGAGCTCATCACCATGGTCTGGTTCCTCATGGCGCATATGGGCCTTGGCGACATGTACCGGATCCACGAGGGAGACGCCAAGGCCAAGCTCATCGTCCGTGGCCAGTAGCTGTTTTTTCCATCGCATTTCTTCTATTCAAACCTACTCTACTGCTTGGCTTTATCATCTCTGTTGATTGCTGTGTGTTTGTTACGTCATTTGTATGTCCACCTTGAAATGCTTCACTAGCTTCCAACAATTTGCAAGGAGTAAAAAGAGTTCAGTTTTTCTTCAAGAATGTGTCTAGGGCTAAGTATTGTTAGACATGTAGCGTTGCACACATGTAATCTCAACAGCTTATTCCTATCTTCTCTCCCTTAAACCTCTCGATCTATCCTATGTAACGACCTAGCGATCGGGTCTTGGACGCGGCTTTTTGGAGTGAACAGTAGATTCGTTAAAAATACTAGAATTCTTTTAAAAATGTTTTTTCTGATGAAAGATGCTTGAGTGCCTGACGTTTGTGCCAAATTTCTGAGCATTTGGACATCTGAATAGCTTTCACCAAAAAAGACAAATTTCGGGTACGTGAAAAAGTTTACTGTTTTGTATTGTTCGAACTTGATTTATTTATTTTGCCGAGAGCTACTCGGATGTCTGAATGTGCTGAAACTTGCCGCGGACATCATCATTCAATCATCTTTCACCATAAAAAAAGGATTTTTTTGAAATTTTCTAGTATTTATTTTGATTTTACTGTCCGGTTTGCAGTGATGGTGGAGCGGTGGCCAATCCGCCGCGCCAAGTAGTTTCGTCCTCGGCGGCGATGTGCTCTGGTCGGCGTTGCAGCCTTTCGCAATGAAGGGATTGCAATCTATCCTCATGACTTCCGGTAATTTTTTAAAATGTCAGGACTGCAATTTCTTTTTCATTGAGGGTCCTCATGTAAATTGCAATCACATGCTTATCTAATGGTGGTCCTTCGTAACCCCTGTATTGTTCAAAAAAAAAGATTGCTTATTTCTTTCAATAACACTCAACATACACGAAAAAAACCGCAACCCAAGTAACAGAAGCCCATTATAACCCACAATCGTTCAACATAGAAACATACACACATCAAACGGGACACAACTAAAACAGCTGGCAAAAAGATATGAATACGGCAAGCGGTACGCAGCGACAAGATCAACAAGTTTGCACGAATATTTCAGCCCTTTGGTCGTGTGGTTGACAATATAGATGTGACATATCAAATTTTTATCTTAGAGGGTGTTTGTTTCCGAGGACTTATTAGCTTAGGGACTTTAATAAGTTTCTATAAGTCCCATCTAAACCAAACAGGAGGGACTTAAAGTGGGCATTTGGGACTTATGAAATAAGACTCTCAAGGAGGGACTTATAGTTGTGATATGATCTTATAGGGACTTATAAGTCCCAGGAACCAAACATGTAGGGACTTTTTAAGGACTTGGGACTTATAAGTTGAGACTAAAAAAATCCAGGACTTATGAACCAAACAGGGCCTTAGATGAGAATTAGCAGATCTGGTGGGGAAAAAAATCAAATTTGGAGAAGTCTCCACAAAGTCGGTCGAACAAACATTACATATACACACCAAAACTCCATGATCCAATTGATTCTCGAAAACAAAAGGTAAATCAAGGACACAAGAAAAACAAAAAGCACACTCGACAGTACGAAACAAACATTTAGCAGAGCACATAAGCACGCAGAGTGAGTAGTGAGTCAGTGACTCAATCAATTAGCAGACTGATCGGCCTCCATCGCCTCAGTTGCAGCTGGTTCGGTCTTGCTCGTCGCAGTCTGATCCGCGGCAGCGTTATCCTTGGCGTCAGCTTCCGGCTCGTGCTCGAGCGCGGCGAAGCCCTTGGCCGCCTGGACGATGGCCACCGGAAGGCCAAGGCACTTTCCGACGATCTCCTCCTTCATCTCTTGGAGTTCCTTGTAAAGCTTGTCTTCCTCCTCTTTCTCGCCCTTCTCCTTCTTCTCCTTGTCTTTGGCCTCCTTGTACTCCCGGTGGAAAAGCTTCCACCCTTCTTCGCCCTCGAGCTTGGGAGGGTGAAACACGCCGCCGGTGCGCACCATCACCCTAGCACCGTCCTCGCTGCGGCAGGTGACGAGCACCGCGCTCTTCCTGGCTTTGGGCAGGCCGTAGGCGAGCCGCTCGTACCACTCGCCGTCCTTGGGTGGCTGCAGCGTCAGGTTGCTGTACCAGTCGCTGTACGCCCTCATGTCGTCGAACACGATAAGGTACCCCGTCTTGTACAGCGTCACGTAGAGGATGAAGAGCAGCACCCCGATCTTGGACTTGTCCTTGTCCTCGTCGGTGGCTGCCTTGACGACGACGTCGGCCTTGTCGACGATGTCCTCGACCTTGGCCGTGTCGAGGCCGAGGTTGTCGAGCATCCGGTAGAGGAGGTTGAACCTGTCCTCGTGGTCCGGCGGGCCGACGCAGACCCAGAGGCGGAGAGGGAAGGCGTCCTTGATCCTGTCGTGGACGAACACCTTCTGCGCCAGCGCCGTCTTGCCGCTGCCGTGGATCCCGGCGATGCCCGCCGTCCTAAACAGCACCTCATCGTCTTCGCCCTCCTCCTTGTCCTTGCCGACGAGGGCGTCGACCACATCGTTGGCTTCCTTGTCCCAGCCGTATATCCGGCTCTCATCCACGTAGCTCGTTGTCCACTCGTAGTACTCCGTCACGGTCTCCTCTCCTGCATCTTCCTGACCAGGAGAAGGAGGAGGAACATCGCCGAGAATGGCGATGGTCTGCTCCAGCAAGGGGTCGACGGACAGGTGCGAGGGTCGAGACTTGAAAGGGTTGCAGTCGCTCACCGACGGCATTGTTATCTTCTTGCTCTTGGCCTTGTCAGACTCAGACTGCTGCTGCTTGGACCGTGCCTTGCATTGCTGCAGGGCATCACCGATACTGCGCAGCAGCTCGGGCAGCTTATCCTTCTTCTCCACCTCCGGTGGCTCCGAGATGATTTTCTCCTTGTTTGCCTTGAGGATGCGGAAGATGTGGTCCAGCGCCTCCCTGTGAGGCAGGTCCCTGTCCACTTCGTCCTCGAACGCCTGGAGCAGCTTCTCCATTACAGCCTTCACATCATTGCCGCTTTGCTGCGCCATGGTTATCTCTCTATCTCTCTCTCTCTCTCGGTGTATCTACCTTATTATCCCAGGCCTCCAATAGGGAGCTTACGCCATTAGCAAGCAGATCGAGCCTTTATATAGCTCGAGTGTTGAGATGCTTGCTCCTTCCGTGAGCAAAGCGAGATGCTACAAATGATTATCATCTCCAGACTTTAGGATTGGAGAAGCTACAGATTTGCAAACTTTGGATTTTTGTTCGAATAATTTCTTTTTAAAGGTGTAGGAATCATCAGTGCGCTGCAGTGACACCCAAGTAATGAATCGTTGCTGCTTTGTTTCGCCACTGTATCTACCTAAATGTCTCAGGACTCCATAGCTTCGACACTGTTTTATAGCTGCATGTTAAGATGCTTGCTGAATGAAGAGCAAAGCAAATGATTATATTCTCCAGGCAATAAGAAGCCACATATTTGCAGACTCTGAAATTTATAACATTGCAGATATGCATGTACTAGGAATCAATGGCACCAGAGTAACGAAGCGAATTCCACAAATAATAAACTCGGTTCCTTCTACAGAAAATAGTGAAATTTACACTCCGTGTTTCAGTGAAATCTACATCCAGGATATATGTTTCCACATGACAAAAATTGGCCGTGTTCCACTATCTTTCGGTATAAACTATAAAGAGCATGCACTCAAAATACAAGCTATCTGATGAATCGAATTTTTTCTATGTTTCCTCCATCCATTCTTCTTTGTTACCAGTTAACTAGTACACAAGTAAATCTCTGCTATATGCTGTGCAATGCCGGAGATGAAGTTAGCATAGAGAGCTGAAGGCAACACCGGAGCAGATATCATAGGTCAGCCCAAGTCAAGCTGGATATGGGATGAAAAACTGACAATCTGCGCAAGCAATCGCTAATGTCTCGAAGAAGTACTTCACCAGCAATGATGTAGGGAATCAGCAGGAGGTCTCGGAATCTGGTGCTACTGTTCTTGTGATGGTGAAATGGTCAACGACCCGCACCGACCTGACGGGGTCTGGAGATGAGGCTGACCTCCATTTGCTAGGGTATCTCCGGTGGTGGCTGAGCTGATGAGGCCCTCTTTCCTCTGCCTCCCACTTGGGATCCAACTTCCAATCCTTTGGGACCTGTTCACCAGATTCAATGTGTTTATAATGGAGCCTACATGCATTTTGTTTTCTATACATCTGAAAACCTGTATCCACCTTATATACTGAGTGATAGGAGTACCATTCAATGCAATGCTGATCTGAAAAGATGTGAACGTGAGCATGTTGAATATATTGATGTTACCTTGTCAACTGCAAGTGTAAATATTTCTAGATCACCGTCCTTCTTAATATGGAACCTTGTGAAAGATTTGTAGTTTGCGATGCGCAAAGACGAGAAGGCTTCATCAAAGTGTATGTGGAACCAGTTGATGCATATGTATAGGTAACTACCAAATATGAGGGAAACAACTGGAGTTGAGAAAATCCAGAAATAGATAAATACAGAAGTATAGTACATGATCAGAACACTCCGAGAAAGAGACATCATGCCGTTCTTGCAAATGTTGATCCTTGTAACAGCCATGACCTGCAAAAATATTTCTATATTAAATTTTGTCTGATAAGGTAAATCTACATAAAGTGGACAGAAGAGGAAATTTTGATTTTGTGAGGTCACATGGTAATTCATAGGTACATCATACACAAAATTCAAAAAATGAATTGATGTACAGGTACAAATCCATTTGTTCAAAACTGCAATGCATCTATACTGTATAGTAAAAATGCTTCCAGAAAGAGTCCTATCACCTCTGGGACGTCAAAGGCTGACATAAGGTATTTTATACATGCTGGATATAGTCCAAGCGTCCATTGTTCCAATCGAGTACGAAGACCAGTTGGATCTGGGAAATGCTCACTTTCCATTGACCGATACCAATCATATAGAGGGTGATAACCTATGACAGAAAACAGATTTGTCAAAAAAAAAGCCTTTCTTGAATGAAGAAGCAGGAAATAAGCAAAACCTCTGATGTCAGAAGAAACAATAGGAGACTAGCCACATAAGCATAGCTAGAACTTTTCTGGAGTGGAGCTTAAGCAAAAGTTGGTGATACTTTAGAAAGAACATGACATAAGAGTTTCATCAAACAAACCCCTAGGACATGTCATCATAGACATGGTGGCAAAGATTATGTTTCCCCAACTGAACTTTTCAATTTCGTCTAGCCACTTCAATTTGATTAATGCTCTCAGGGATATAGTGTTCAACTTTTACGATCTTATCCAGATTGAAACAAAAAATGAATACCCTATGTACAAATGATTGAATAAGGTACTTTTTACACTTCAAAAGGGATAACAGCAAGAACATAAAGTATTATCTGAACCTATGATAAGAATTTAATAGTAGCAGTGTAGTTGGGAGTACAATATGCGATGGCATACCTGACGTTGCCAGTAAATGATTCCGTATACATATTTCAATGCCCAACTCCATGAGCAACATTAAAACTAGAGCTGCAGTCAGATGGGCCAAAACATGCAGGCCACCAATAATAGCTCTTTTTTTCCGTGTGAGTTTGGATGGTACAAATGAATATGATGCCATCAACAAAGTTAGACTTCCTACTGAGGAGACGTAAGAGTGTTCAAAAATAAAAAGCAAAGCACTCCATATTGTACTTGAGAAGCTTTGCAGACGCCCAGACCATGTTTCCTCATTTAAGATGTGAACAAGATTACACTGGAAAAGATGGAAACGTGAACAAGAGTCAGGATTAGATCAATGATTATAAGCCTGATATAGTCGCAGAATATGAGTATCGTCTTGGAGCGACGTTTTGAGTCAATAAAAACTCCCTTTGTCGGAAAAAAATTGCGAGGAATATAGGCGCTTAGTATCACCAAGCTGAATAGCATATGTAATATTGCTCAGTAACTCAGTATGACCTTCCAAGTAATAAGTCGGTGGTTGAAAGGTTGGCATTTTTCAGAAGTGAAACTTTGTAGTGGCATATGTCTAATTTTCAAATAGTAACACATCCAAGGTATAATACTTCACTTAGGCCTTGTTCGGTTAAACCTCTTCTGGATAGGTTTGGAGAGGATTGAGGGGGATTTTGACTTGTAGAGGATTTAATCCTCCCCAATCCATTCCAATCCCATTCCAATCCCATTCCAATCCCTTCCATCTGAACAAGCCCTTAGGAAAATGAAGATATGTGGGCTCTTTCCCTTTTAAGTATTTAGGGGTTCCCCTGCATTACAAAAAGTTGGGAAGAGGGGACCTGCAACCCCCATCATTGGTAGAATTATTAAAAATATTTCTGGTCCGCTTGGGAGGAATTTATCATATAGAGGCAAACTGATTTTAATTACCACTTGCATTGCCAGCATCCCTGCATATTTGATGTCTATGGTGAAGTTACATAAGTGGGCCATTGATGCTATCATCTCCCAAATGTCCCATTTCTTTTGGGGGAATGTGGGTAATGAACATAAGTATCACCTGGCTAAGTGGGGGCTCATTTCTATGAGAAAAGAGTGTGGTGGTATGGGGGTTCCCAACCTTAGATTTTAATATGGCTATGTTGGCAGCTTGGAGCAAAAGGTTTTATGATGGTAGGAACAGTGACTGGAAAAATATGCTATAAGTATGGTACTAACAAACCTAACATCATTTGCAGTAAACCAGGTGTGGGTTCTCCCTTTTGGAAGAGTACTTGTTGGGCTTTTGAGGCTGCAAAAAACTTTTATAAATGGGAATTAGGAAATGGTGTGAATATTGCCTTCTGGCATGATCAATGGGTTGGGGACATATCTCTCAAAACAATGTTTTGGGACCTATTTGACATTTGCCAGCAACAAGATAGCACTGTTGCTCAAGTTTGGAATGGCAAAAATCTGAAACTTTCATTTAGAAGATGTGTGGATGAAACTCTTTATAAGAAATGGCTTACTATCTTTAGTTCAGAATACAACTCTTTCTGCTATTCAAGACAAACCCATTTGGGTGCTTGAAAAATCAGGACTTTAAACTGTTAGATCCTTCTACAAACTAATTAACTTTGGAGGGGTTCATCATGTGGTTAAAGATTGTATCTGGAAGATTAAAGTCCCGCCAAAGATATATGTTTTCTTGTGGCTTATTATTCATAACAAGAGTTTGACTAGAGATAATCTAGCCAAGCGTCAGGCAGTTCCTGACATTTCTTGTGTTTTCTAATCAGAAACTGAGAGTATCAAACATTTGTTTTTTGATTGCATTGTTGCTAAACAAATTTGGGAAATTGTGGCTGATATATTACATATTCCTGTGCCTTACTCCTTTGAGTCTCTGTTACCCTTTTGGAAACATAAGAAGAAACACGATGCTGCTAATTTGGTAACCTCTGCCACCTTGTGGGGCTTATGGCGTTTGTGCAATGATTTTGTTTTCCAGGGGCGAAAGTAGCGAAGTATGAAATGTGTCGTGGGTTTGGTGGGTTCGCTGGTGCGTCAGTGGAAAATACTCTGCACAGGTGCTCAAGCCTCGCTGCTCCTAGAGTGCCTAAGACTACTCGATCATCGGCGAGGAGAATTACTTAGGATTGCCTGGCAGGGTCCCACATCTCCCCAGGGCTGTAGCGAAGGGTTTCATCTTCCTGTGTGATGGATGTAATCTTACTCTATTAGCCTGAGACTTGGTTAAGATTGCTGCTTCGCAGCTGTAATAAGGGGGCGTTGTAGTTGCTTAAAACTGCAAGCCGTAACCTGTAAGACGTCTTTTGGATGCTGTTTTTGCCTTGGCTTTAATAAAAGTTGGGGCGGGGGGAAACCCCTCTGATTTCAAAAAAAAAATATGCAAGGGAGAAAACTACGCCGTACGGAATAAGTATAACTGACCTGTGGGAACATGGAGAATACCAGTATGAAGTAAATAAAACCACCAATTATGTCGAACTGCCAATTCTTCTTGCGGAATTTTAATATGTTGCCCAGTGCAATCTGCAAGTGTAGTTAATAAGATCTT